CAGATTGCCCAGCCAAGAAAAATGAGAGACGCATGGCACACACCTGGGTCCAACCTGAAGCTTGGAGCCAACACCAACATAGCTCAGTTCAAAACAGCTGATCCCAGACCACCCCTGGATGCACAGTTGAGAAGAAATGATGATTGTTTTAAGTCACTGGAGATTTGGAGTGGTTGGTGGTTATTATTTTGGCAATAACTTGGTGATAAAGCTTCATGTTCAGTTTCAACATCCTAAGCAAAATAATCTCTTATTTTTGTCCCCTCTCCTATTCTTATCAAGCGGTATGTATCGTAGAAGTGGCCAGGCAGGGAGTGGCTGGGCCAGTTCTTAGCTTGGAGAGGGTTGTTAATCTAGAGAGATTTTAATAACCCCGGAACCCCAGAGGCTTAAAACAGGTGACAAAACGGTACTAAAACTGTCGTTTTGTTCCTCCTACCAATAGCATTATTGCCATATTGATAAGACTCCTGAATCCCATTTAACTGTTATGCCTGTTTGGGTTTCTCATCAGCCCATTCTCCCAGGCATTTCTCAAAACAATTGACCGCCAAAACGTGGGAGTGGGGAGTGACCCAAACCGAAACCGACAAATGCTGATGGACAGCCCTCAGCTCAGTTCACTGCCACAAACAGCAGATGAAATCTATCACAGGCCAGATTTCACTTGTTAAGTCTCTAGAACGGGGCTGGCTGCTGGGCTTCCGGGGGTGGTTTTCTCAAAATGTCTACTGGGTGGACCCCTCTTTTTTCTGGAGACTTAGCACACTGAGAGTGAGCCACTGACCTCCTGGAGAGAGTGTGAGCCCCAGGTTGTGAAGAGAGTCGCTCCTTTCCTCGGACTCTGAGGCCGGGTGCAGGAACAGGGAGGACAAGTACAAGGATTTCGGGCAGACTCATTAGTAATCACTACTGCACTGCCAGAGCTGTGTCAATCTAATTTGGCTGGAATTCAACATACGGGTCCACAACATTTTCACAGCCCTTAGCTCACTGACGCACATGGCCTTCCCTGACGGCGTGACTAGCATCATTTACGGTGTCTGTGGTCAAGTGGCTTGTTCAGTGTCTGTGGTCAAGTGTACAAGTGGCTTGTACACTGCCAGGCAGCGATTCCCCCATCTGTCAGCTGTGTGGCCTTGGGCAGTCCACTCAACCTCTCTGAGAATCCGTAAAGTGAGGCCGTGTTTTAATAACACTTACCTCAGAGGGCTTTTGCAAAGATTAAACTAAAAAATCCATTGGTTTTCCTTAACTGATTTCCTTAGCTATTTGCCGAAAATAAAACCAAAACAAATAGAACAAACAAATCTCCAGAATCTCGAATCACAGTGTTTGGTACACCCATAATGCAAATTCAATGAAGAACAATGAGAAAAAAAAGTTACCTATAATTCCACCATCTACACGCAGACCTACACCTTTCCAGTGACTGTTTGCACACAGACACATACATATTCACAAAATTGGTTCATACCTACTATTGTGTAACCTGCTTTTGTTGCTTAACCGATTATCATACACATATTTCTTGCCAATAAATGTCTATTAATATGTACTTTAACTGTTGCACAAAATTTCATTGTATGAATGTAGTATATTTTTACACCCCCTATTTTTTGATTTTTAATTTCTTTCCTCATTTTTGCTCTTATAAATACCTCTGTGATGAGTATTTCTGTACATATATTCTTGAGCAGACAATTGATCATTTAAAAGGTAAATTTGCAGATATGAAATTACTAGTTAAAAACCACAAACATTTCAATCTTGCTTTATACATGCTGCCAAATTCTTTCAGAGAAGTTCGAGTAACTTCATCTCTTGGTGAATTAACGTGCCTGTTTCACCACAGTTTTGCTAAAACCCAGCCTTTGTCACTTTTAACCTGTGTTTGTTCGATGGATGATAAATGAATTGCATTGTTATCTCAATTTGCATTTGTTACTGCTGAAAAGGAATGTTCTTGATCCTTAAAAATTAGTATTTTTCTTATTGCTATGTAGAAACTTTGTTAATTAGAGGATTTAAATTTTGCCTTACATTTTGTAAGTATTGTTCTAGTTTTTCATTTGTCTTTTAATTTGTGAATTTTTTGCCATTGTGTACATTTGAAAATTGTATGTAATAATATCTAGGTGTTTTTGTGTGTGCGTTTCCTTTTATACTAACATACTTAGAGAGACTGGAGTATTTCTTAAAATAATTTTTTTTCCAGGAAGGCATATGTCTGGTATGTTTTCTGAGTCTTTCTTTGAATGAGAATAAGCTTCTGTAGTCCTCATGTGAGAACAATAGCTTGGCATAGCACACGTCTGACACAAATTTTCCATCTGAAAATTCTGTAGAGAGGCTGTTCCACTGTTTCCTGAAGTTTAGTGTTGAGAGACAAGTCTGATGCCAGGTGGATTTTCCCTCCTAGTATGTTCCCTGTTGGTTTGTTGGGCAGGATGATTTCAAGATTTTTCTTTATCCTTGAAATAAATAAGGAAAAACGGGAAACACAGGGAGTCTATCTTACACCTCGGCCTGGCACACAGTGGGGGTTGTGGGCTGAAGACGGATTTCCCCAACTCCAGAAAATACTAAGTCACGGCTTCCTCTCTGCCTGGTGTCTTTTCTTTTTCTACAGTTTCTATTCAATTGCCAGGACCTTTCCTGCATGCCGTCTTCACTCTTGTTTTTCACATCCAGCCTTCTTCCTGAGTCCCGGAATTTCCCCAGCTGCCTGATCGCTGCGCTTTCCTGTTCTCTGCATCATCCAACGTGCGAGCCAGTATTGTCGCTGCATTTTTATATCAGGTGGTTGTTCCACCTTGAGGAAGTCTTCCCTGATTTCTGGGTTCTTCTTTTTTGTGTGTACAACTTCCTCTCAATTATTGTTGAGAACCTGAATTTAACATTTTACAAAACGTCACTCTCTTTCCTTCCATAAACTTTTTTCAAAAGAGCACCTTCATTTATGCTCTAAAGCAGTTTTTATATATGTCCAGCTGTGTTCCCCCACTTGCTCATCTTTACAGAGGGCGGTCTGTGCTTGCCCATATGGGGCCTGGAAGAGATTCAATCAGAGTGTTTGAATTCATATTTAATTTCTTTAACCTAGGAAGAGAAGGTCAAGGAAAAATGATAATTTCTGCAGGTTAACTTCTGCGTCAGTTTCAGTTTTCTGGGATAGGGAAGAGGGAAATGCATCCATAAGTGGCTGCATGACCAGGCTTCCCCACTGTGCCCACATCCCTTTCTGGAGGGCAGGGGCACCACCTCCTTTGCTAATGGACAGGGTGGCTCTTGGGATGAGCCTATTGTGGCAATGTGCCCCTATTGTGTTACACCATTTTTATTGTGTTGTTTGATAGGGCCATCCAGAAGTAACGCCCCCGAACTGCCGTTCCCTGTGCACTGCGTCAGACCTGGGCAGGGTTTTATGGGTGTGGCACTTATGTACCCACTGCCTGGGTGTGTGGCATTCGGACTGCCTTCCCTGCGCCCTCCAGCTCCCACCCTTTGCCACACATTCTCCCCAGGTGTTTGCACAATTTGAGAGAAAAATAATGGCCCATCTGATAATGCAGCAAGTGTGTGTGCAGGTGACGAGCTGGTAATATACAGAGTTGTCATCATATGTCTAACTCACATTTCGGAGTCGTTCATCTGAGTAATGCATACAAATCTCACTTACAGTGGCTGATGCCTGATATAGCGTCAATAAATGTTGGTTTCCTTCCCCTTTCTTTGCCTTCTCTGAGTCTGTCATTGTTGGCTATTTTGCCTTGTGGCCGTCTTCTTGTTTTTTATTAAAAAACCCTCCAGGACAGTCTCATTACTCTTTGGGAATGGATGGCAGGCTTGTCTGCCTTCTGACACCTTCTGTGGAGCACAGCAGCGGCCATCAGGAGTGGAGCAGCCGGCTCAGCTCAGTGCTTCTTGCTTGCTCAGATAAAAAACAAACTGGGTCAAATGTAATTTCTATTTCTGTATCCTTGAGAAATAACCCCACTCTCTTCCACAATGGTTGAACTAATTTACACTCCCACCAACAGTGTTAAAGTGTTCATGTTTCTCCACATCCTCTCCAGCATCTGTTGTCTCCAGGTTTTTTAATGATCGCCATTCTAACTGGTGTGAGATGGTATCTCAATGTGGTTTTGATTTGCATTTCTCTAATGACCAGTGAAGAGGAGCTTTTTTCCAGCAATCCCATTACTGGGTATATACCCTAAAGATTATAAATCATTCTACTATAAAGACACACACACAAATGTGGCACATATACACCATGGAATACTATGCAGTCATAAAAAAGGATGAGTTCATGTCCTTTGCAGGGACATGGATGAAGCTGGAAACCACCATTCTCAGTAAACTAACACAAGAACAGAAAACCAAGCACCACATGTTCTCACTTATAAGTGAGTGTTGAATAACAAGAACACATGGACACAGGGAGGGGGACATCACACACCGGGTCCTGTTGGGGGGTCTCAGGGCTAGGGGAGGGATAGCAGGGGGTAGGGGAATTGGGGAGGGATAACATTAGAAGAAATACCTAATGTATATGACAGGGGGATGGATACAGCAAAACACCATGGCATGCGTATACCTATGTAACAATCTCGCACTATCTGCGCATGTGCCCCAGAACTTAAAATTAAAAAAAAAAAAAACCCAGCTGGACAGTCCCCAGAGTGCCTCTTCCTGATTATGGGGAAGGCAGCCTGGTGGGCTGTGTCCTTTCTATGCATTCTCCACCTTCTTGACTCCCCACTGCTGCCTTCAGGGTTCCTGGCAGTAGCTGGGCTGAGGCTGGAGAGGTGAGTAGAAGGAAACTTTTGCCATTTGTCTAAGACTGAAGTAACCGTGGATATGCCTTTTACGGCAGATTTTGCTGAAGAGGGAAATTTGCACCTGTTTGGAGGTGGCATCATATTTAGAGAGAGCAAGGGGAAACAAAAACAAAGGCCAGCGCATCTGGAAGGATTACTGCCGAAATTACTCACCAAAGACATCTGCGACGCTGTGATCCATTCGGGAGAGATGTGAAAATGAGCCCCAGCTGAGTCTCCCAGCAAAATGATTCCCCTGGGCTGTGAACCTGGGCAGCACAATTTATTTACATTATTTATGCACTCAAGTAGTTTGGAGCCTCCAGACTGGATAGTTATGAGAGCAGATACCCTAGTGTGTATTCCAGGCACCGAGTGTTATAACAGCAATTCTGCATGTTTGAGAGTGAGGGCCATAGCATTTAGGAGCTGAATGAGACTTCCAGGCCATTGGAGCTGCTAGCTAAGATGTAGAGATGCAGGTGTGTTTAGTGTGTTTCCCAGCTCAGCATAAAACAAACTGCTGTACAACATCTTGAGTGAATGATGGATGAATAAATGATCAGAGCTTTATCCGAAATCAGAAATATGCCCTAAATTTTGGTTCTGGAAATTACTTTCTTCAAAACATATCGATGTCTATTACAATTCACTTTAAGAGTTAATGATCTTATGGAGCGATTTTGATTTTTCCAAGACGTTGTGGTCTTTTAAAGCCCTTAATCCATATGGGCAAAAGCACTGGATAGACAATTCTGGCTGATTAATGGAGAGGTGGAGATAGAAAGGTCTTCATGCAGCCCTGTATGGTCGGAGGTTCAGAATCACTTAATCTGACTCTGAGGTCCATCCACATGAATCATTCCCCTGTGAACACATTCTTCCAAATTCATTAAGATCCTCAAAGAATCAATTGATGCCTCCCAGAGGCAGAGAGAGGCAGCTCCTTTTCCACTTCCAAATGCCTTAAACCATGCAGGAGGATGGCCTAGTCTCATTGCCTGGACCAGCGGTCTCACTCCTCAGAGCATGGAGGGCCCACTGAGAGACTGGGACACAGGGTCTGGGCAGATTCTGCAGTCTCTGAGCTGGAGGTCTACGTGTCCTGCCATCTTCAGTACCTAAGGTTGATGCTTCTAAAGAAGCAATTCTCAAGGGGTCAAGTTGGCACATTCCTTTACCCCCTGAGGACACTGGCAATGTTTGGAGAAACTTTTCTGCTGGGGGTGCTCCTGGCATCTAGTGGATAGAGGTCAGGGAGACTGCTAAGTATCCTACAATTTGCCACTTCAGTGGCTCCCCAGCCTGGGCTTCATGGCTACCACTACTGGCCACACGAATGGGGGCTAAGAAGGCCCAGGACATCCCAGAGGGCACAGGGAAAGTAGGATGTGGGGAATCTAAGAGGCTTTGCATCAGCCCTTCACCTAGATCTGCCTCTATTTCATTCATTGGCTTAATTGTTCATTCGGTCTTTTATTCATCCAACATATATTCCTAAACTGCATAAATATGTAATAAGCCTTTACATTTTCTTTCCCTCTGCATCCCCTCTGAGGGCTTAAAGACAATCAGGCTTTAGGTTGATAGAATGCAAAGGCGATATACTTTTTTTCCATGAAAGCTCAGAGCCAACTATAGCTCTTGGTTAGAATTGAAATCGTTGTTCAGAAAATGCCTGTTGAATGAATGAATGAATGAATGAATGAAGTGATTGTGAAACTGGGAAGAAAAGCATTGCCTAAACATAAAACAGGGATGTTACTATCCAGAGTTGGCATCACCAGGAGCGTATTTTCAGTAATGTTTGGGTGGTGAGGTTTCCCCAGTGGAACTGGTGGTGCAGATGTTTGTGCCATCTGGGCACTTAGGGCACAGAGTTTCGCTCAGTTATTTTTGGGAAGCCATCACAGGTTATAGCCTGGCAGTCTCTCTCAAGTCATGCAGACATTCAGATATGCATCTTTAACCTAGTGGCCACAGAGACTCATCCCATCAGTAGAAGTCCAGGTGTCTGGCCTTGCAGTGTAATTAGAGGCAAATGCAAAAGATTAAAAAATGTGTTATCTTTGCTGCTTGGTTTCTTATTTGGAAAAGTGCTAGATTTCCATTGCTCTTTTATCCATTTTGCAGCCTAATCCTCGAGTAAAAGAGTCAATTAAACAAATTGTTTTGCTCTTTTAAGATTCTGCCCCCTTTCCTCCTTTTCTGAACCTTTTTTTTTTTCTGATCTGTCATGAAAAAAATGTAAGTTGGTCGGAGAGAGTAAATCCTAGCATCGAGCATGTTCTGACTCAGGTGGTCTGCTCAGTTCACTTTGACTCAGACTAGGAAAGAACACCCCATCGTCACCACACTGACGTCCACAATTCATACCTTCACAGAATTTCTTCTCATATGGAACTCCATCTTTTGGATCAACACCCTTTAAAAGAAAAATGGTGCAATTAGCACTTTGATTTTAAGTTTATGAGATAGATACACTAAATCTCTCCCAAATGGCTTTAAAAGCACAAAAGCAAATGAACAGACAAAACCCTTTAAAGTCTCTTAAGTCCCTAATTCAACATAGCAACGCCCCGTGCAAGTGAGAAGGGTTTGGGAGGAACCGAGGGTGGGAGTAAAAAAGGCCCAGACACCGGACCATCTCATTCAAGGGGATGCCGGGTAGGGTTCTGGGAGAGGTGCCTGGACCAGGGGTCTCACCCCTTAGAGCATGGAGGGCTCCCTGAGTGACTGGGACACCGGGTCTGGGCGGATTCCGCAGTCTCTGCGCTGGAGGTCTATGTGTCCTGACATCTTCAGTACCTAAGATTGATGCTTCCAAAGAAGCTATTCTCAAGGGGTGGATTTTGCACATTCTTTTACCCCCTGAGGACTCTGTCAATGTCTGGAGACATTTTTTGCTGGGGGCGCTACCGGCATCTAGTGGAGAGAGGTCAGGGATACTGCTAAATATCCTATAGTTTGCAAGACAGCTCCAACAAGGAATTATTCAACCCAAACATCAATAGTGCCCAGATTAAGAAACCCGGAAGTAACACTGCGTCTGTGAATGGGACTGAATCGGCACGGTTGGGATATCCTACAAGCTGAGGTTAAAGCTCCCCCTTAGTGGAGCTGCTAGTCCTTGGAAGGATTATTTATAGTAGTCCAGGATGAAAGCACTTGCTGACCAGGGATGTGTTAGCAGGAGCGTGCTTACTCACCAGTCTTGGGAGCTCCCTGTGCCCATTAAAACACGAAGGAACCCATTAGCATCACGCTCAACACTGGGTCCCTGGGACACATTCTGGGCAAGGTTGGACTTCACAGTTGTAAGACTCCCTCTGAGTTTATGATGTTGTGGCCCTGTGAGTTGTGCCTCCTGTGTGGAAGGGGTTAGGTATGAAGGTGCTATGCCTTCTCCCCACACTGATTGTGAGCATCTTGCCTCCCGGAGCTCATGATGGATTTCCATTGATTAGTATAGTCTCTCACTTGGCCTTCCTTCTTATATGGGTGGCTCACCCTGTCTGCAGCCTGGGTGGGACCATGGAATGAAGACAGGGCCTCACACATTGATTAGTCCCTTTTGTCCTCTAACATGACAACTAGACCTGGGTTTTTCAGAACAAGAGCTAACTTGGGGATCTTGTCACCTTAAGCTTTCTAGGGGAGATGTCCTCTTCTCCATGAAAAGGCAGCATGACTAGGGGATAGGGTGAGTGGCGCGGGCTGGGGCACAGCCATCTGCCATACTTTCCTTATCTTGGAGGCCATGGGACTGGAAAGCACACAGTAGGTGACTGTTGGTGCAAGCCTGCACTATGAGTATCCTGGAGAGAGGAAAATATTCACAGAAACATTTTCCTCGTCATCGAAGCAGACACATGAAGCCACTATTTAGAGGCGGTTTAGATGATTTATTTAGGTCAGTGTGCAAATGGCTGCAGCTTGTGCATTAATTACAAAAACCACAATTACTTTTGCACCAACATAACATCTTGAAGTTAGGGAATCTTAAGCCTCGGGGCCCATCCCAGCCCCCTGCCCATGTGAGTGCTGGGAGTGACTGGGAGCTATAGAATATTCTAGGTGGAGGGGGAGGCCAGGCAGCAATCAGAACATGTTTCCATGTAAACACTTCTGGTAAATCAGAAACAAGATCTCAAAAGAAAGGGAACTGAATTTCTGAGACTCCAGGAATTTATTAAGATTTTTTTGATGATTGTTTTATAAATTACTCATTTCCATATTTGATTTTGTATTTTTAATTTGATGTTCCTTGTCTTCATGAGGAACCCTGAAATCATGTACGCTTAATACCCCACAAACTCGAGTCTGTTTCTGGGTTACTTTTGGCTTTCCTCTTTTCTTCCTTTTTCTTTCCATCATTCATAGGGAACTAGGACAGCAGAGTTAAATGCCTCAAGGTGTGAGTAGTAGGGTAAATACTGGGTGATTTCTGCTGTGCCTGGCTAGGCTTATGAAACGGAAAAAAAATGGCTGCCACAAAATAAGGCCAGCATGTGGTTTGCTCCTCCAGCTGTGTGGGTTGCTTTAAAACTTGGTTAACACCACTCTTCACTTAATTTCACACTGTTCAAAACAGTATAAAGGGATTAGATGTGGGTGACCTTCAGCAAGGCTTAAGGGAGCCATGACTGAGAAAGCCTACACTCTCATGACACGGTTGGCACTCTTCACACATCGTCAGGATTCTAAACCCCTCTTCTAAGCAGCAGGAAAAGAGCTGCTGTAGGCTGTCATAGGCTTCCTTGGATCTAACTAAAGCAAATCTGTGATGAGCTTCAGGAGAGGGAGGAATAAAGGAGAATGGGTTCAGGTTGCTTACCCAAATGCCGTTACAGTTTGAGTCCTGATGGACATCCCAGCTGTCCGGCCTAAGAAGAAAGCATTAACATCGGTCTTTGGCATATGCTTGTCTCTCCGTGAACGTCAGTTTCGTGCATGAATGAATGAATGAATGAATGCTGTGTGAAAAGCCATGGAGAGACAACAGCATTCTTCATAGAAGAGCGTCACATCCCATTGCGTGTTGTGACATCAGAAGCCTCCATTCAGCTTCCTTGCTTTAACCTGGTTTGGGATATTTTCTGGGAGCTCTGGACCAAAATCCTGTCTTTTTCATCGTTGACCGCATTCGGGGGCCATGTTGCTGTGGGATGGTGCCGATGAACATAACAGAAAATCTGCATCCCATTGTGCCCCTAAATGCCCAAATAACCGGTTAATTTAGTGTTTTGATACCATAGTCACAACGAAGACAAGGGCTGGCATATCTATATCAGAGATGCAATTGAACATCAGCCCAGGGCGAATGTGTGACATGTTCTCCATTTATTGGAGGCTCCTCCTTACTCCCCAGGGGGGACAGGCCATTATTTCTGGGCCCAATTCTGCATGGAGGACTGATACGGAAGGCTGGATAAATATCTACAATAAGATAATCTGTTCACCTGGTTGTTTTTCCCAATTGACTATACGCTCAAGGAGAGGAGATATATTTCTATTTTGTTTACCACCCAGCATGATGCAAAGTGCTTGGCAAACTGTGGGTCCCTGATAAGCACTTCTTGGACAAATGAAAGAATGAATGCTGTTCTTTTTTTCACCGAGCCTTACTTCATTCAGAACACGAAAACCTCTTCTCTGTATAAGTGGGAATCCCCTAGGCTGGGGGAAGGAAATGTACCTCTTGCCTCCTTTTCTGAACATACTTTAAAAAAATCAGCAACCAGCCGAAATAGTTACCTTCTGCCTGGGTATACCGACTCGTCACTGTCATTACAATCTCTCCCACGCCAGTGATAGCCCCGCAGCGTCTGAAATTGAAGAGCACACACAGGAGGGGTTCAGCCCACTTTGATGTTATCCACAAGGCAGGTTCATCAGAGCTGTCCGAATGGCATTGACAGCCACAGTTTCTAATTCAAACTCAACGTGGGATCACCAAAGAGCACTAAGAAAGTTAACATTAATATAATAAGACATGCTGTGTGAAGTGACATGTAACATAACACCAGGGCCAGTAACAGGTGGTAGGGTGTGTACATGTGCATGCGTGTGTGACTGTACGTGTGTGTGTGACACTGAGTGCGTGCCTGTGTGTGTGTTTGGGGGGTGCCTGTGTGTGAATGTGAATGTATATGTGTATGTATGGGGGCATGTGTATATGCACGGGTGTGTTTATGTGTATTCATATTGTAGATGTGTGTGCAGGGGTCTGTGTGTATATGTGTTTGCTCATGTATATGTGTCTACAAGCACCTCCAGAAACAGCAGACCCATCCAACTCCCCAAAATCCCTCTAATCGCCGTCAGTCCTCCCAGGCTGTGAAACAATTGACCCATTGGGCCAAATTATTCATTTTGTTGGATAATTCTAGAGTCTCTAGCCAAATGGTTCATTATGTAGGTTTAAATGTTTGACCTGAATGATTGGAATCAAGAGTTATAATAATGTCAAATAATATTTTTATTTCCTCCTCTCCCAAGTAGAATATCTGAGATTTTCCAGACTTTTGGGACCTTGTGACATGTTACTTGCTGGTTGGCTTTCACAGAGAGAATACTCTGACATTTTAACTGTTCGGAATCAAATGCACACACACTGTTTAAAAAGTAAGCTAAAGTAGATTTAAGAATTTCCGAAATAATTCACAAAACCTTTCAAGATAATTATAGTCCCCATGGAGAATTCCAGCTGGGAATGGAAAGGAAAGCAGTCTGGACCTAAGATTTACTTCAGTGGTTTGTGTATCATCACAATGCTACACGGTCTGTAAAAAAGAAAATGTGAAATGGGCTGAGTGTGGCAGCTAATGCCTGTAATCTCAGCACTTTAGGAGGCTGAGGTGGTCACATCACTTGAAGTCAGGAGTTTGAGACCAGCCTGGCCAACATGGCGAAACTGACTTTACTAAAAATACAAAACTCAGCCAGGTGTGGTGGTGCGCACCTGTTATCCCAGCTACTCGGGAGGCATGAGAAGCACTTGAAACCAGGAGGCAGAGGTTGCAGTGAGCAGAGAGTGCTACTGCACTCCAGTCTGGGCAACAGAATGAGACGCGGCCTCAAAAAAGAAAAGACATTGTGAAATGATGTATTGTTCATGTATTGTTCATCAAATAATAATGCATTGAAATGAAATTCAGCCTTGTCTTATTAAAGGGAAGAAATTTGTAGGAAGCAATGTGATCTTAGTGAACATCTGGTTATTCCTAACAATACTTACTGGGAAAATGCTGTATTTGTCTGAATCTACATCTTTGAATGGCACAGACTGTTCTATAGCTCTAGGAAAAAGAAAACAAAACAATCGATGAGCTAAGAAAAAAGGAGCAATGTTGGTGAAAAGAAATAGACATTTTCTGATGCAGGTGTGTTGAGTTTCTGCCACAGAGGGCTATTCTAAACAGAAAATTAAGTCTATGTGGTATCAGAGAGAGCCAGCAAAACTTTGCCCGTCTCTGCTCTTCACCCAACAGAACTGTTTTCTCTCTGATATTAACTTGGCCTGTACAAGGAAGTGAAAGAAAATTTGAATTGAAATTTTAAAGGGCAAGGGGTATTGATGTTGAGATTCCCAGGAAATATGAGACTGCACTTTGAGTCTAGTCAATGAACTCAGCACTACAAACTGAATTTTTGCCATTTTCCGCATTCTGTTATAGAAATCTTTTCTTCACATTTTACTCTTTTCAAGTCACTTATCCTGAGAATCTTGATCATTTAGTGGATATTCGCTGACCACTGTCACTCCCGTTCATGAGTCTGGGAAGCCAAGGACCCTGATGTGATGACTCAGGGAATTCATGCCAAAGCCATGGTCATTCTATGAGGGGGGATTTCCCCTTTGGAATCCTCACGACCCGACTTTTCCCAGCTTCTAAATGTCAAACATGGCCTTGGGTGTAGGAAAACCACTTATAGAGTAGCAGAACAATGCAGTCATATGGCAAAGAGGCAGGAAAATAGGGTCTGGAGGCAGCGAACATGGGCCAATCCTCACTTCAGCTATGACAGGAAATATCCTCTCCATAGGGCAAACGCCATAAATGGCTTTGTAACTTCGCTTCATCCTCGTCATATACATAGGATGTACCCCACGTGGAGGGTATGCAAACTCACAGAAAGGCTGTAACTGCGTCTTTGAGCCCCTGGTCTCAGGCCCGCTCCCACACTGTGGCGTGTACCTCCATTTTCAATAAATCCCTTCATTCCTTCCTTGCTTTGCGCATTTTGTCCAATTCTTGGTTCAAGACGCCAAGAACCTGGACACCCTCCATCACTAACAGCAAGATGAGGCTTTCCTTGGAGCCTAGAATTTAGAGTGAGTAACATAACCTTTTATAGGAATTACTAAATAGTCTTTTGAATAAAGAGATCTCAACAGTTCTGAGAACGTCGAGGTAGATAAACGCTAAGTGCCACTCTGGAGCCTGTCTTATGAACTCTGGGATGTGGCGGAACTTTAGCTTATAGGCCTCTTCGGTCAAACACTGAAGGGCACTGTGCTGATTATATTAGCCTCTAAGGTTCTGTGGACTGTATTCCGCTCTGTACTGCTGCGCTGGGAACTGCAAAATACACTTACCAGGTTCCCTTGGGAACTGGAGCTAGCACTGATGGGCAGAGAGAGCAGTGGGAGGAGAGAAGTTATTTTCGCTCTCTTTCTCTCTCTCTGGATGTTCCCTTCGGTGACTCCAGCTCTAGTCACTGTGGGCCCAGCACCCATGGGTGGCCCCTCATTCATGGCTCCAGGGCTGGCCCATGCGGCCTCTTTTTTGCCCCCAGCAACCCAGCAGCAAGTGGCTCCTAAGGCTGAGAACATCGTCTCCTCCCTTTGCTTCCTCTGTTCCCCTAGGGATGCTGGCTGCCTCCTGCCGTGCTCCTAGCTGGGTAGCCTTGCCTTTCCCTTTTTACTCTTTCAGGCTTTTTGGCACTTTTTAAACTGGTGCCTTATATTATCCTCTCTGTGCGAGATACCTTGTACAGCTCTGTTTCCTGACTGGACCACTGAGAGGAGGGCCCCGGGATGCGTGAGTGCTGGTTAGGGTACTCAGAAAGGGTGGAGAGTGTGGGGGGTCAGTAGCCACTTGGTGGACCCAATGAAGACAGAGCTTCAAGCTGAATGTCTCATTGCTCGTCCTGTCTATGTCCCTGCCCTGGGGAACAGAGGAGGCTGGAACCCTGAAAGGACAAGGCAGCAGGCTCCCTCTTAGGGCCCACAAGAGGAATTACCCTTTTGAATTCAAGTACTCTTGCCAGATACTGAGTTGAGCATGGTGGTTCAGTAAAGACTCTGCAGTCAACAGTTGGAATCACAGCTCCATCCGCCACTTCCTCACCAGCTCTGCAATTCTCAGAAAGTTATTTAACCTCCCCGAGCCTTATTTTAAAATCTGCAAAACGTGACTCCTGTCAGCTCCCTCACAGGGTTAATTGGGAGGATTAAGGGAAACCACATGAAAAGCTCCTGGCATTGGTCCTCACAAAGTGCTTGCAGCTGTGGGTCTGAGCTCCTGCTGTTGGAAAGAGGAAATTCACCTTCCCTTTCCATTTGGGGTGGGGGGTTGAACAGGGCCAGCGACAGAGACACCAGCAGGAAATTAGAAAGGTTCTACTCATTGACTGCACACATCCACACTTACAGGGAAAGTGAGAACCAGCCCTGTGGAAGGTGAAGATTGTCCAGGAACAATTCAGGTGTGGGCTGTAGACAAGTTTCACCCCCATCATCACCCACACCTTGGTTTTCCCGTGGCGGGAGCGGAGGGGAATGGAGCTTCCCCAGTGGGCTCAGATGCTATAACGCTACATTCCCTCACGCAGAGAGGAGCTAGGGCAAGATCATCCTTGGGGTCCTTCCTGCCTGATGCTCTAGGGTTTTTAGATCCATCCCATTCCTTGTCTACTCTGAGCTACAAATGTTTTTCTCTCACTTTAATCATTTGTCAAGAAATTTGGAAAAGTTTGGACCAAATGACATGCAATCATCCAACGTAAGTTGTGACTGTTAAGAAAAGTTTTGGGCCGGGCACGGTGGTGGCTCACGCCTGTAATCCCAGCACTTTGGGAGGCTGAGGAGGGTGGATCACGAGGTCAAGAGATCGAGACCACCCTCGCCATGATGAAACCCTGTCTACTAAAAATACAAAAATTAGCCAGGTGTGGTGGCACGCGCCTGTAGTCCCAGCTACTTGGGAGGCTGAGGCAGAAGAATCGCTTGAACCCAGGAGGCAGAGGTTGCAGTGAGCTGAGATTGCACCACTGCACTCTAGCCTGGCAGCAGAGCAAGACTCCGTCTCAAAAAAAAAAAAAAAAAAAAGTTTTGGAAAAGGCTTTGAAGATCACATTGTCGGTGAGACTAGGGAATTTTCCCCATATATGTATTTGACCTCTTGGACAGCGTTTATTTTTCTAGTTGAGGAAAGGAAGATAAAGAAAGAGAGCAAGAGCAAGGGACAGAGAAAGACCAATGGGGGCAGGGGGGCGGGTGGGGGGAGGAGAGAGAGAGAGAGAGAGAGAGAGAGAAAGAGAGAAAGAGAAAGAGAAATGGTATGGACCCAAAGAGCCATATTTTCAGTCTGAGAAGGAAAAAGGTGCTGGAGGAAAGGTCTCATTTAGGTCTCATGTGAGGGTGCATCAAACTCACCCCTCCCACTGTTATCATCTTGGGGGTGAGAGTTTGTCTTTGAAAGAAGGAACAAAGAGTGGTCTCTAAAATTGGAAAGCTGATTTATTAACCTTTGTCTGCTTACTTTAAAGGCTCCAAGTGACTGACCAAGGCCATGGGTACTCAAAGTATCATAAACTGCAGCCTGTGTCAGCTCCACAGTCCCTTCCTCGCAGCCCCTAATCTAAATTTTTTTCAGCTTAGTAACAACTTCATTTGGTGGCAAAACTTGACCTGAGCTGATATAGGGCAATTTGTAAACTTGATAATACTTAGTGTGAAAATTCATACATTTCACTCCAAAATACAAGTATGATTGATCAAGAGGTGCTGGGGATAGTAGAAAAGTTATGTATATGTGCTATTACTTTACTAGAATATAAAAAAATCTGAATTTCAAATCATATCTGGCTCCAAGGCTTTTTGTTTGTTTTTGTGTTTGCTTTTATACAGACTGGGTCTTGCTCTGTTGCCCAGGCTGGTCTTTAACTCCTGACCTCACGTGGTCATCCGACTCTGGTCTCTCAAAATGCTGAGATTACAGGCATGAGCCAATGTGCCTGCTACTCCAAAGTTTTAGATAAGGCATTGTTGACTTTTACTAAAAATTATTTCTGAAAAATTGCATCTGAACTTGATACCTTGTGTATCCTTAGAAATATCTAGTTGTATGGCCGGGCGCGGTGGCTCACGCCTGTAATCCCAGCACTTTGGGAGGCCAAGGTGGGTGGATCATGAGGTCAAGACATCGAGACCATCCTGGTCAACAAGGTGAAACCCCGTCTCTACTAAAAATACAAAAAATTAGCTGGGCATGGTGGCACATGCCTGTAATCCCAGCTATTTAGGAGGCTGAGGCAGGAGAATTGCCTGAACCCAGGAGGCAGAGGTTGCGGTGAGCCAAGATCACGCCATTGCACTCCAGCCTGGGTAACAAGAGCGAAACTCTGTCTCAAAAAAAAAAGAAAAGAAAAGAAATATCTAGGTGTAGGTTTGAAATGTTCATGCATTCATTCATTCCTTTATTCCACAGGCATTTGGGGAGTCCCTGCTGTGTGCCAGGAATCATATTAGATACCAGAGATGAGTACAAGATACAGTTCCTGCACTTGAGGAGCTTGACATGGGCAAGGAAATTAATGCATCCAAAGGTAACTATGGTCCTACATCAGAAATGCTGTAAGAGGTAGTGCATCTAGAGAGGAAAAAACATTTCTAACTCTGTATGGGAGAAGAAGTGATCTTAAAGGATGAGACAGCATTCTCAGGGCAGGTAATTGGACTGAGGGCATCGTAGTGGGAAGGAGAAGCCGTGGAAATTCTTTTAACACAGCTCCAGGTTCTGAAATTAGACTCTCTGGGTCTGAATCCCAGGTATGCTGTCTCCTTGTCAGGTGATCTTAGACAAAGTATTTAATCTTTTTGCGCCACAGTTTTCTCGTTTGTAAAATGGAATCAATATCTTTAACTATTTCTTAGATACAGAAAGCACTCGGAAAACAAAACAAAACAAAACAAAACAAATGAGCTCTTACTGCTATGTACAATGGGAGCCTTGATTGCAAGGATGGTTCCTGGGGTAGGCAGCAGGGGGCAGGTGTCTGCTGTCATCACGGTTTGATTTCTAGAGCATCCCCAGCCCAATCCATGGCCCCTCTTCAGATGTTCAGGCTTCTAGCCACACATTCTATCCAATTACCATGCAGCCTGGCATCGCCCACTGCCCCTGAGCTATACCTGCCTGCCAGATATCCCCAGGTATCAGGTGAGTGGGCTTGGTTCAGGGAGCACTTGTAACTTCAGGGAAATGTTATTAATGACACAGTATTGAGCTATTCAAGTTCAATCTCCCTAAAGTTATTTCATGAAACTGGGGCATTATGACAAGAAAAAATAGTGAGAATGAATCTCCATGTGTGCCTGCCTCACATGTGAGTCCCAGGTAGCTCTTGAGGGCCGGGCGTGGGTTGGTTGCATCTGTAAGTGGATATGTTATGTAGGTCTCTGTCAGAGGAAATGGGAACACAGAAGCCACGGAAGGGCACACCTGACTGTAGACATGGCTCAGCTTGGACATGGGGGCAGGACCGACGTGGGTGGAAGGAGCAAAGTATGGGGAAGGAGGACGCTAAAAAGGAAAAGAAAATAGTGTTGAATTAACACAATCAACATGGGATAGGATGGTTTGCACATACTGATGTGAAATCATATGAGGGTTTCTGCATATAGACATTAAATAAAAAGAATAGATTTTTAGAAAGGGGATCCTTCTGACTTACCACTGTTGAAGTAAAATACAGACATTGTCTAGGCACTGTGTATACTGATTAAAACAGAACGCCAAAAAACTCGATCACCCTGTGGTCATAGCCTGGTAGCTACACATTAATTTTCCTGGTAAAGTGGTGCTTTTTCTTTATGTAGTACCTCATTTTCACTGAGCATCTGTAGGTGGATGTGTTATGTAGGTCTCTGTCAGAGGAAATGAGAACACAGAAGCCATGGAAGGGCACACCAGCCTGTAGACATGGCTCAGCTTGATCCCTGCTAAGAAATGGGATCCCTGCTCTCCAGGAGCTTATGGGTGGTGTGGGAGACCAGTGGGGAGGCAGGGATTGAAGAATGGGATGAGGAGGAGCAGGCACTGGGGAGCTGGGGTCACTGAGGGGGAGCCGGGAGCCCAGGAGGGCTCTGCAAATGACTGAAGGTAGTCTGGGAGCTGGATGCATCCTTGGGGAGGGGACACCTCAAATGAATTTTTAAAGCATTAGACCAAGTGAGATGGAGGGCAGGTAGAGGCACAGGGCAGGTAAGGCATTCCTTCCGGGGGAGTTTTATCAAAGGACTATGCCACAGAAGACAGGCAGGTCTTGTCTCTACCGCGTGAGGACTCCATGCTAGTGGGTCAGGCATCAAAACCTACTTGTTCCTCTAAAGTGTAGGGCTAAGAGTTGAGGGTTCAATGGGATGCAAACTGTCGGATTCAAAGGTCAGATTTGTCCATTACCAGAGCTGTGACCTTGTGCAAATGATTTTATCTCTTTGGAAAGGAGATGATAACAGTGCTGACCTTAAATAGTTGGATTTGCAACAGTTTTTGGGGCAAAGACAGCACCAGATAACTTTCAGTTATCAATATTATTACTGAAGCACGGATTGCTTTGAAGAATACATGAGACTGCATGTGTGTGTGTACGTGCTCTGTAAGCCATAAAGCACAGAAGCAGCTGTGCCCTGCTACATATGACACTTGGAACAGTGATTTTTAGAAAGAAGGAAAACACAGTTTTTGCTTTTTCATAAAAGAATAATTTTCCCCTTTAAATTGGACCAAGAAAATTCCTGGCCACTGACGCTCTTGAATTCCATTTTTCAAAGGTGGTTCAATTGAAGAGTTGTCACTTTGACCCTGTTGGGTCCTGCTGGGCCACATCTAACACGGAAAGTACAATAATGCATTCTGCAAGGAGGGGGGCAGGGGTCTCCACTTAATGGGAGCGAGGCATGATGACATGACCGGGGAACTGGGGAGCTGGCTGCATCTCAGCCTTCCAGCATCTTCTTTCATGTCTGCTAACTCCCCTCTACTCCTCACATCCCGATGCTCTCTGCCTTCATCCCCAGTCATGAAAAGGGGTGTTGCTACCGTTTCTGGGACCCGCAATGGCACTTTGCACAGCTGGCTTGCAGGGGCTTATGCCAGCAGATTGATCAGGAAGACGTTTTAACTGTCAACTCTTGGATCTCTGAGAGGCTCCGAATGTGGGTCTGAATCATAGCCTCCTCCTGTCCCTAGATAGTATCACAACAGATGAGAGATGTTCACTGGATTTAGTGCTCAGGAAACTCATGAGATAAAGGATATGGAAGGAGGAAAAGTGCTTTTGTTAGGGGTTGAATTGTGTTCATGACAAAAATATGTTGAGGTCCTAACCCCTGGTATCTGCGAATGTGACCTTATTTGGAAACAGGTTCTTCATAAATGTAATCAAGTTAAGATGAGGTCACTGGGGCAGACCCTTATCCATTAGGACTGGTGTCCTTGTAAAAGGGAATGACAGGCACCCAGGGAAGATGGCCAGATGTGAAGACGAAGGCAGAGGCTGGAGCGATGGCGCTGCAAGGTGAGGTATGCCAAGGCCCCACGGCCTCCCATGCCAAGCTAGGGAGAGACGGAAAGGATTCAGCTAGCGTCAGAAGGAGCGTAGCCCTGCTGCCATTTTGGCTTTGGACTTCTGGCTTCCAGCACTGAGAGAGAGTTGATTTCTGTTGCTCTAGGCCACCTAGTTTGCAGTGTTGTGTTGCTGCAGACATAGGAAGCGACAGCTTCTCAGTCCAGATGCGCAGCCTGATTCTCAGCTCTGTGTGTTCTTGGCTCTAAGCATCCACAAGGCTGGACTAGCACAGGCTAAAGTAACAGGAGCTCCTGCGGGAGAGGAAGAGTAAAAGAAGCAGGGGCTGGGGCAGACCGTGTGGTTAAATAAATATCTCACAGCTAGAGAACATTATTCCGAGTCATGAAAGCATCACCTGCATGTGTAGCATTCTCAGTCTTGCGCCTGAACTAGAAGGCAAGCGTCGGGGTGGACATGGACAGCCAGGAGTCTAGGCGTGGGGTCTAATGGCCTAAGAATTCCCTGGAAATTTTCCAGGAAAACACAACCACCAGGTTTGGGGCCAAGAAACGTGGACTTTAAAAAGTTTCAAGATGGTTCTGAGGAACAGGCAGAATTTCATTGTACTTTAACTTTAGATATGGGGACACGAGGCTCGGAGATATTAAGCGGCCCAAGTTTTCAAAGTCAGCTCAAGAAGCAGCAAAGGAGTCAAGAATATGTGTGTTCGCAAAGAACACGAGATCAAATGCACCTGGGGGTGTATCTCGGGTCCTCAGTGGCCCAGCAGAAGTTACTTCTACAAGGCTCAGTTGCCTTCTCTGTGAAATGGGAATAATAATAACTTTTACTTCATTTTGTTGTTGTGAAAACAAGGTGAGGAAACATATTGAAAGTTCAGCATCTGGCACCTAGAATGGCGCCCATATACCTGACAGCAGCAGTCACATTAGAAGTAGCTTGGTGGGACGGGCACGGTGGTTCACGCCTGTAATCCCAGCACTTTGGGAGGCCAAGGCGGGCAGATCACTTGAGGTCAGGAGTTCAAGAGCAGCCTGGCCAACATGGTTAAACCCCATCTCTACTAAAAATACAAAAAATTAGCAGGGCATGGTGGTGGGCACCTGTATTCCCAGCTACTCAGGTGGCTGAGGGAGGAGAATCATTTGACCCCAGGAGGCAGAGGTTGCAGTGAGTTATGGTTGTGCCATTGCACTTCAGCCTGGACAACAAGAGCAAAACTATGTCTCAAAAAGAAAAGAAAAGAAGAAGGAAGACGTAGATTCGTGGAGGGTAGATCCCAGGCTCTATTGGAGGGTAGATCCCAGGCTCTATTGGAGGGTAGATCCCACGCTCTATTGGAGGGTAGATCCCAGGCTCTATATTGGAGGGTAGATCCCAGGCTCTATTGGAGGGTAGATCCCAGGCTCTATTGGAGGGTAGATCCCAGGCTCTATATTGGAGGGTAGATCCCAGGCTCTATTGGAGGGTAGATCCCAGGCTCTATATTGGAGGGTAGATCCCAGACTCTATATTGGAGGGTAGATCCCAGGCTCTATATTGGAGGGTAGATCCCAGGCTCTATTGGAGGGTAGATCCCAGGCTCTATATTGGAGGGTAGATCCCAGGCTCTTTTGGAGGGTAGATCCCAGGCTCTATATTGGAGGGTAGATCCCAGGCTCTATTGGAGGGTAGATCCCAGGCTCTATTGGAGGGTAGATCCCAGGCTCTATATTGGAGGGTAGATCCCAGGCTCTATTGGAGGGTAGATCCCAGGCTCTATATTGGAGGGTAGATCCCAGGCTCTATTGGAGGGTAGATCCCAGGCTCTATATTGGAGGGTAGATCCCAGGCTCTATTGGAGGGTAGATCCCAGGCTCTATTGGAGGGTAGATCCCAGGCTCTATATTGGAGGGTAGATCCCAGGCTCTATTGGAGGGTAGATCCCAGGCTCTATATTGGAGGGTAGATCCCAGGCTCTATTGGAGGGTAGATCCCAGGCTCTATTGGAGGGTAGATCCCAGGCTCTATATTGGAGGGTAGATCCCAGGCTCTATTGGAGGGTAGATCCCAGGCTCTATATTGGAGGGTAGATCCCAGGCTCTATTGGAGGGTAGATCCCAGGCTCTATTGGAGGGTAGATCCCAGGCTCTATATTGGAGGGTAGATCCCAGGCTCTATTGGAGGGTAGATCCCAGGCTCTATTGGAGGGTAGATCCCAGGCTCTATATTGGAGGGTAGATCCCAGGCTCTATATTGGAGGGTAGATCCCAGGCTCTATATTGGAGGGTAGATCCCAGGCTCTATTGGAGGGTAGATCCCAGGCTCTATATTGGAGGGTAGATCCCAGGCTCTTTTGGAGGGTAGATCCCAGGCTCTATTGGAGGGTAGATCCCACGCTTTATTGGAGGGTAGATCCCAGGCTCTATATTGGAGGGTAGATCCCAGGCTCTTTTGGAGGGTAGATCCCAGGCTCTATTGGAGGGTAGATCCCAGGCTCTATTGGAGGGTAGATCCCACACTCTATTGGAGGGTAGATCCAACGCTCTATTGCCTCTGAGTCCAATGCCCTCTCGACATTGTTTTACTCTTTAATGTTCTGAACAGCAGTTATGACAATGTCTGGCATAAACCAGACTCAGAATGGAGCTGGAGTATAGCCAGGAGGGTGTGGGAATTCTGACGGTGTCTCTGCATGCACAGCCCTAGTCCTACATATGTGAGCCAGATTTCTCATGTCATAGTTTGGGCCCTGTGAAAAAACAGTTGCTGTATGTCCAGCCTTGTGAGTGCCTCACACTGAAGATGCCCAGAGTCCTTGCCATGCCCAGTTGCCCACCCTGGTCCGTAGCTCACACAGCAGGGAGGGGCTGTTTCCAGGTGGAGGGCAGTGGGCACCTCACTGGCAGGCACTGACCGGCAGCGACCCTCACTGCAGGCTGCATTCTGGCCTGGGGCAGAGACCAAGCTTTGAGATGCAAAGATGCTGGCATTCAGTACATTTCCCAAACGACTTTGTTCAGAGCTCATTTGCCTTCTGGTTTCTGAGCAAGTCGTGTTTTGAGAACAAAACACCTTCACCTTCAGGGATGCCTTTTAAGTGTGAAGATCATTTTAGTCATTAGAAAAAGGGGACAGGCAAAGATGTTATTACACGCTAGTGCTCAGGAAGGGAGAAACTGTATACATACAATTTAATTTTCTGGCAGACCTTGGCCAAAAACGGGAGTGAACAAATGTCAGAACCACTTCGGGAGTATTTCTGGGGAAACAAAAAAACAATGAAAAGAGAGGTGTTTAGTTTAAGGAACGGTTCCCGCCTTCTAAGGGCCTCTGTACTTGAGGTTTCTGCATCCTCCTTCCTCTAGAATCCAGCCCCATTTCACTTCTCTAAACTTACCTCTTGTTCCTGTCCCCACAACTGTATCCATGCCATGGCCTGTGCCTTTGCCCACTGGGTTCCTCAGCCCCAAGGCCTCCTCCTCTCCTCCCAGCCCGCTCTTCCCAGCTTCCCAGCCACCCTCAAGCTCCACCTTGTCCTGGGAGGACCCGGCAACAGCATTCCTCTACCCGGGTGCTTTAAAAATAAAGGACATTTTCAAACAAAATAATTTCATCTTATGGAAATAAAAACTAAAGGGAGAGACACAATCTGGGGCCTGGGAGGAAGGAAGGCCCCTTCCCCCAGGAGCAGAGAGGTGCACAGACCAAGCTCCTCATGTTTCCTGAGCCCTGGGGTTCTAGACAGCGATTTCTATGGGACTCCAGATGTGAGATACACTAGAAGCGCTGACATTTTACCAAACAGTGCTTTTAGAAAGATTGCCATTTCCACAATGCTTTCCTCAACCTAAAGAGGAAGAAGACAACAGGGTAGAAAAGTTAGGCACCAGCATTTATCAACGAAGGGAGAGAGACGTGGATTCCTGCCAGCCCAGAGTCCTTCAGATGGCTATGAGGTGTGTTACGGGCATTGGTGATATTTGACCCTGGCAGGAGAGAACTGGTAACCATTTCAGAATACAAATGAGGTACTTAAGGAGTTTTGAGATGCCTGCCCAGCTTTCTAGGAGGAGAAATAATCCTGACTGGTGGCCCAACTCCACAAAAGACGTGGAGATAGAGGCTGTCCTTGTCCTCAGCTCACTGTCGAGTGGAGGGCATGGGTGGATGGCCCAGCTCTGGGCACACCCTGTGGGGTCTGCAGAGGCCAAGGCAGTAAAAGGGGTCTCTAGGAACCTGAAGGAGGATGCGGATGACCTAGCAGTGAGGTGGGATGGAGGCAGGTGGGGCGGAAGAGAGATGGCCTGAGGCTTTGTGACTCACTGTGTGGGCCACACTCTTACTAGAGATGCTCATTTTTGCCTTCCACACCCCCACCTCAGGTCTGCTGAATCGAAATCCCTGTGGTGGGTCCTGGCAGCCGATGCCTTCATAGCCTTCCAACTCATTCTTGTGCCCACTAAGGCTTGAGAACCACTGCCCTAGTTCCTTGCCACTCAAGGTGTGATCTCAGATGAGCAGCATCAGTGCCACCTGGGAGCTTCTAGAGATGCAGAGTCTCATTCCCTGCTGCAGACCTACAGAATCAGAATCTGCATTTTAACAAGGTCCCTAGGATGCACTCAACACTGAAGAAGCCTGGCTCCTGGTGGAGGGATCACCTGAGCAGTGCTGTGGAGGTATGAGAAAGTTTGGTGTCTTGGGGGAATGCCAAACGTTCCCACCCGGCAAGAGCATCGGAGTGGCAGAATGCAGTGAGCCATGGAAGGACGGAGACAGGACCGGGAGCCTGTAATGCAGCGCCACGTTACTCTGATGACTGTGGGGAAGCCATGGAGGTGTCAGGCAGAGGAATCAAATTTGTGTTTTGGAAAGATATCTCTAGGTGTCAGGGGATGGTCTGGAGGAGGATCATTTGAGATAAGAGACCCTAAGGCCCTATCTCAGGATTTCAAACCTCAGTGCTATTGCCATGATGGGCAGAGAGTAATTCTGTCCTTGCTGTGCGGGCTGCCCTGTGCACTGCAGGATGCTGGCAGCATCTCTGGCCTGTGACCTCCAGGTGCCAGCAGCACAAATCTGCCTCTAGACACTGCCAAATGTCCCCAGGGTGGGGTGAGGGGCAATATTGCCATAGATTGAGAAGCACTGATGTGAAACCGGGTGGAAGAGGGTGATGGTACACAGAAGGGGTGGTTCGAAGGGTGACTGCAGAGACTCAGTAGCTGACTGAGACCTGGTTGTGGACACACTGCACAACGAGCACCAGCATAAGCTTCTACCACAATGTCGATGGCACTTTGGAAGTACAGACACTGTTGAGACCCAGAGTCCGAAGTCAGGTTGCGTTTGAATGTTTGAGGTTCTTTTAATATTGAGTTTAGTCTGAAGCCCTTGGTCTAATTCTCCTAACAACAATGTGGACGTCAACACGGATCATAACCAATATATTTAAAAGTGTATATGAACAGTTCTATAATTACTACACAAAAAGTACAGCGGAATACGGTTGTATGTAATTACACAGCTGTTTGCGTTCAAAATTCAGCCTGGGGGCTGCAGCCTTTTCCATTCATTGTGTAAATTCTGGGGTTAGGAAGTAAGCGGCAGAGGATGTGGGGGCCCCTAGAACTCCTCCTGTTTACATAGAGGTTTTCATTATCTGGTCTTTTCGTTACGTAGTATGGGAAAGACCACGCTTCTCTTACAATTTACTTGCAAAGAGAACAGAGATGGGCCCCGAGCAATATTGTGTGTGTCTTCCTTGCCTATTTGCCTCCTCCTCCTTTCAATTTGAACTTTGCTAGATAGAGATAAAATGTGGGCTGTTATTAACTCAGCAATACATTTAAAATATTGCATCTGGCTGCATCTAATCCCATCTAAAATGAGAGTCTCAAATCAGGGCTGTCCCGGGGGTAGGAGTCATGCAGCATCTTTGCTTTGCAATCTACTTAACCAAATTCCTGAGCTTCCCCACACCAGGATGTCACATGAATGCAGAACAACAGGCAGGGGCTGAATAAAGAAAAATGCACTGAATGGGGTACATGGAAAGTCAAAAGGGGAGGCTCATCACTCTTCTGTACATGGCCAAGCTGAAATTGAATTTCTCTGTGACCAAGTGCTTTACAATCCTTGTCGTGTAATATGTTACCTGGATTTCATTGGTCTGGGGTGGGGTTTGGACATCAGCAACTAGTAAAGGTTTCCCAGATGATTCTGTCGAGCCGGTGGGTTTGTGATCGGGGCTGTCATTCAGAGCTGCACAGGTTCCGCTGTACTATTCCAATAGCCACATAGCCTGTGATATAAATGTGCTCCCCTAAGTTTAGCACTAAGGAGGCCTTGCTGAAAACTACTGGCTTGGTAGAAAACGTATCGAATGTGGGGATAGCTAGCTCTGGATTTAAATGTGGGGTTTCTCATTTACTAGCTATGTGGGGTGAGCACATAACTTAACCTACCTGAGACGCAGTACTCATCTGTAAAATGGGGTTGATAACAAAATGCTCTGTTATTGTCTACTCGGTAGAAGTGAGAATTAAATGATTCCATAACTCAGGTGCTGTTAGATATTCAATGGTCTGTCAAATCCACGAAATGTTCCCTCTAGGAGCCTATCCAGGCCTCATTGAGATCCAGGCTTTCTCTGGAATGTTTGATTTCCTTCAAAAATGCATAACTGTTTCCAGGTCTGAATTCTGACTGACAGGCTGTGCTGAAATGATATGCAACCTACTGAGTGCAGCTTTCTGTGTCTGGCCAGGTCTGCAGTTATGTCCGCCATCACGGTGGAATTAACTGCAGCCAATACTCTCTGAGCGGCTTTTTCAGAGATACTTATTTGCATTTTCTGATTATTTTTTCCTTGATAGCTGTAATCTGGAGAGCAAATACATTGCTGGAGGTTTCAGAAGAGTATTTTTATTGTTGAATTGTTCAGTAGAATTTTTTGCTTTTCACTTCTCCCAAGTAATTATTGGAATCCTGCTCCGTGAATTATGCTCGCAATTCTGGTGACAGAAGTAAAAAATTGTAAAGTCCCAATTAGGAGTGAATGCCAAGACAGTTTTTCCTAGTGAAGTAAACAATGCCTGGAGAAGAAGCTCTTAGGGGTGTGCTGAGAAAATAAAGTACATGTTGTATTGTTTGCATTTCTGCTCAGAATTCTGAGGGGCCGTCAAGAGTTTCCTGCATTTCAATATCTTATTCAACAACTTCAGCAAGCTGGCTAAACAGGCTCCTGTTAGCCCTGAATTAGATAATGATTGACAATGAGGACACTGTGATTGATCAATCAATTATGTATAAACGTCTATATGTTGCCACTTAACATGTATTTATTGGCCTTGTTCATCAAAACCCATACGCTCTCCGTGAGCAGGGTTGCCAGATGAAGTATTGCACTAGATATACTGAAACGCTGTTTGTTGTTTATCTGAAATTCAAATTTAACTGGGCATCCCATATTTTTGCTTGAGAAATCTGGCAAGCCTCGCCATGAGGGATTTTCCTCCCTTTTAGTTCTATGTTGCCGAATCAATAATACCTCAAATGTAGTGCACCAAGGTGAATGATGAGCTCTCTAGCAGGGAGAAGCCAAGGACAGATCTACGCCCTCCCATTGCTGATGGATGCTTCCTTACCACCAGGATCGGTGGCATTGACAATGATGCTGTGCTTTAAAGATCTACTTTTCTGCTTCATTTTCAAATGGGGCTGATTTGCAACCGGGGCCTAAGTCAATCAAGCCTGTGAAAACTGATCTGAAGTAACATTGTATCTGTTGAACGACAGTCTTGTTAAGCAAGAGGACAGAACAAGGAAACATGAATAAAAATTGTGCTAACTTTAACCCACATTTATGGAGGACTTGGTAAGTCCTAGGCAAGATCCCAGACGCTCTCTGCCCTCTCAACTCTATCAGTCCCGACACTGGAGCACTTGTGTCTTACATATAAGAAAACTGGGGCTCAGTGAAGTTGAGCACGTTGCTTGAGGTCACATTTTTAGAAAGTGGAGGAGCAGGAGGATACAGCCTCCTCCAAGATGGTTTACTGGAAAGCAGCTGTTCTCAACAGGGGGTGTTTTGCTCCTAACATCTGGCAATGTTAGGAGGCATTTTTGACTGTTGTGACTGGGGAGGGGTGGATGGTGGTACATTGGCATCCAGTAGGTAGAGGCCAGAGCTGCTGCTGAACACCCTACAAAGCCCCAGCCGGCACCACAAAGGATTATCCTGCCCCAGTGTCAGCA